AAAATTAATTCTTTGTGAATAAAATTTAAAATGCACTAAGAACTTCAAATCTAATAGAAGCTAAAGAATTAGAAGTTTTAAAGTATTCTGTACTAGATAAATTCAGTGAGCTATCCATTAAGAGTCTTTTCCTCATCAAGGTCTTAAAATGAGCTAATGATTGACTTAACTTAATATTTTGAGGCAGAGCGTTCCAGAGAGATACCATACAATAGCAAAAAGTTCTTTGACCAGTTGCGGTTTTAAATAACAGAATATTTAACAGCTGCGAGTTTCTAGTTTTGTGTGTTGATATTGATGAATGCTTAATAAACTGATGAAATAGATACCCTGGAGCAAGGCCATTCATGCATTTAAATGCCATAATTGAATCGCGATAATACATATGTTGTTTCACGGGGAGCCAGTTGAGTTGTCTGAGTATGGGAGTAACATGATCGTATTTCTTTGACCCACTAAGGATTCTACAGGCAAAATGTTTGATAGAGATAAAGCAAAAAAACTCACAGCTAGGGCAAAGTAAAATGAAACTTGGGTGTGCTTCAATGACGATCTAGAATGGAGAGAGATTTATAGCTTGCCATTTTGCACTTCTTTGGACACAAAATCAGGGAGTTACCATTCTCTCATCTACACCATCAGAAAATGTTTCATCCCTACAGGTGCTCCTACTATTATTAACAGCGGACTACTAAGAAACTTTGACCTACCATGTTCCAAAGAGACTTGACCCTAGTTCCATGGCAGTCTGTAGACAATATAACAGATCCAAATGTAGCCTGGAATGCCTGGCAGAATATGTTTTTTTAACATATGTGATTCACATGCACCATATCAGCGTAAGAAGGTTGGAGTTTCAAACTTTTCCTGGCTTACCACTGATCTCAAAAAGTTAATGTTTGAGACAAGGCAAAAGTCTCATGTTATAATTCGTTTTTCAAGAACAACCGTTGTAACATTAAGAACACACGGAAAGGGATAAATACCATTTTTGGTGAAACACCGCAACCCACCAAATGACATACTTTAAAAATTGACAACACCATTTACACTACTGCTGATGAAATCAGTAACGGGCTAAATCACCATTTCTGTAGCATGGGGCTAATTTTAGCAAATGAGAGTCCTCTTACAGACTCAAAGTTTACTGACTATATTCCTCCTCTGCCACATGTCTTCTCCTTAACTAAAATGTCTAACGATATCGTACTTAAATTGATTCAGTCATTACCACTAAACAAGGCTAGCGGTCTTGATGGTATTTCAGCTAAACTGATAAAGGAGGTGGGGCCTATCATCTCTGCATTCTTTACCTACATCATAAATCTGTCATTAACTACCGGCATTTTTCCTGATGATTGGAAGGTAGCCAGTCTCTCCTATTGACAAGGATGATATCAAAACTAATCCAAATAACTACAGATCTATATCTGTCTTGCGGATTGTCAGCAAACTTATTGAAAGAGCAGTCTTCAACTAGTAATATGGTTTCTTAATGAGGCATGATTTACTTGCGGATGCTTAGTCGGGTTTTCGACCTTGTCACTCCACTTTAACTGCCCTTCTTGATATAACTGATGATTGGTTTTCAAATATGGATAATGGCTTACTTAATGGAGTTCTCTTTCTCAACCTTAAGAAAGCTTTCGATGCTGTTGATCTACTAGATTAGTAGATTGGTAGATTATTTATAAATTGAAACTTATATATCTGGGTTAGACATTAGACATTTAGCCTATATTGAGGCAACTTTCTTGGCAAAAATCTAGTAAAACAAGGGTGGGTGACCTACTCCCCCCTGAAAGATCCAAAACCGACACCAATGTGTCTTTCTGAGTTTTGGGGTAGACCCTTTATACTGGCTAAATTTCATTGAAATCAGTGAGATGGCATGTAGCAGACTTGCCTGGTGCACCCATGGACACACTCTTAAGCTCTTGTGAGCAACCACCTCCCATAAGCAGCCACCTAGGGTTGACATTTTGGGTGGTCCCTTATGGGAGGTTCGACTGAATTAAAAAAAAAAGAAAAAACCTTTCTAGTTTTAATTGTAAACAGCTTTTAAACAAATGCAGTACCTAAAAGGGTACAGCTTGCTTAAAGAAGGATAATTATTATTTGATTTGATTACACCCATTTTTATATCCCTACCTTTGGAATTTTGGCCAAATATTGTTTGGAATTTTTCAATATTAGTTTCCTGGGGGAATTTAAAATACTGTAAATTATATTTTATTTCATAGGTTTACTGCCATTGATTTGCTGCTTAATATTCTGTACTTTTTTTGTGTGTGACTCACCAACCACTAAACAACATTAAGCTTTACTTTCTATATGACATTTCAAGCCAAGATATATGAAAATAGATGTCTCTGACTGGTTATAGCATCATGCAATCTAGTTTTGTCAGAGCCCATCACTCACCTTGTCACTTTAAAAGCATACACATACAATGTACAACAAACTTCTTTGAGCATTTTTACGTTTATGCTTTTGACTTACTTCCCTGAGGGATTCGGTTTACAGTTGCAATGTAATTGCCAACGAATTTTCTTTGTAGAATGTCATGCTCATGACCATGTCGCTGCAGAAAATGATGTTGGAAATCAAAACCCTTGTTCCCATTGCAAGAGCAGTTACTAATACAGGTACACATGTCATGTATACTGTGACAGCTTAGCAATTTAAGGTTGTCAAACATAGTTTTTGCTTGCACTCTGGAATCTTTTATTACTTATGTGACAAAGCCTGAGCACTTTTAACTAACATGACAGTGATAAAGTGATAAGCTAGTCATTATTTGATTTATGCCGTTTCTATCTGTGCTATCTTTTTCATAAAAAGTCACCATGCATATTTGCAGAATGACTGTTGGCAGGTTTTTCATTGTTACCATGATAACCCAGTTAAATGTAGCAATCATGCATGTCCAAAAATTGAGAGTCTATGATTTAGTGGGTTTTTTAATGGAAATGTGCCTATTTCTCAAGAAGTACTCAGCAAAATTGTACAAAATTTGACAGGAAATCAGTTCAGAAGTGTCAGAATGGTGTTAACATGTGTTATCAGAATGGTGTCAACATGTGTCACAGGGTAGGAAAAAGACTGAAATTCACTTGCCCAGTGGGCTAGTAAATTTCAGTTTCACTTGCTCCAACTAAAATCCTACTTGCCCACGTGGTGGCCAGTATGGCAATCAGAAGACTAATGCAAACAAAGTATGCTTGGATTCTTAACTAATCCATGCTTTCAACTCAATGTTTAACTAATCTTGCAGTCTTAAGTTTTGAAATAGCTTCTGACTGGAATTTATTATTCATCAAGCTGACATTTTAAGTCAGACTCACAAGACTGCTGAGGCTAATTTCGCTTGCACACTGGGCCACTGAACTTCTATTTTCACTTGCCCAAGAGCAAAATTTACTTGCCCTGGGCAATCAGACTTGTTTTTTTTCCTGCTCTGTGTAAACATTATTCCAAGGTTTAATCATAGCATTGACCCAGTTACATAAGAGTAACACTTGCAGATAAAGAACTTTCCAATTTGGAAAAAGTATAATCATAGGTCTATATGATCACTAAAGGATTACATGTTTTTTTAATTTTTAAGTTTGACAGTTGGCATGCATGAAAATTGAATTTTACCACGATTATTACTAATCTCGTAATCTGATTGGTTAATTTGCCATTGTTGATAGGAGTCCAGACAATGCTGCTGACATCTATGTGTCACACAATGCCTTGGTCTCACTCGGCTGTGGCTTGTGAGTCCACAACATTTTGACTACTGTGATGACGCGTATCATTGTTGATAAGACTACAGACAACGCTAAACCACATGCGATTTGTTAAATATAATCATTTGTTACAACAAAAGTGAACGATCTTCCACCTGACAGCCAAACCTTGAAACTTTATTACAATCCCAGTAAATTAAAATAGATACGAACTGTAATTAGTGATAAGAATGTGTACAAAATGCAACTGTACTGAAACCTTAATTTTATACACTGGGAACCTTTTCTCATTCTCTAATCAACCTGAGAGAGAGGGGAGGGGGAGGGGGGACTTACGTAGGCTACTAGGGTATTCGTGCTACGCGTAAGCATTTTCCTAACTGGGATTAAGTATTTGGATATTAGTCTTCAAAGAAAGAGAATCTCTATCTTCGATTTAACATATTTTGTCTGGAGCTATGACGATGATAAACTTGTCAAGTACGAGAAATAACATTGAACGTTCCTTAAGTGTTAACCAGCATAAAGTTACCCATTCTATTCTGACTGTACTTGCAAAACCATTGAAACTGTACGATTTTGTACCCAGCTGGACTATCTAACAAAGAAGAAAAAAAACCTTCACAGGGAACTAGTAATGATCGAGTTCGCAGTTTGACATACGAAATTAAATCAAATGACTTCCGCTTGTTTCAGCGCTTGTTCACACTTTGGGCACCACCAAGCCGCATTTGAACCTTTGAAAATCGTATGCGGAATTGCAGGAGCGCATTTTCTGTGGTACCACTCTGCAGGAATCGCATTCAGCGCACCAGAGAGAAGGAAATTTTTTGTCTGAATTATCCCATGGTATTCTGCATTCACAGATTACAGGGACCTCTTGAACAAGTTTCGGCTCTCTGTTTCGCTTCTCCTGAACTTTAGAGAGAGGGAATGGGTAAAAAAAGCCCGTGTTGAGGCTGTTGAGAAGATGTAGTCTCATTGCTGCACTGTCAAATGTCAAACCTGAAGGATTGAAGCCATGCGGTATAGAGACAAGAAAAGCAACAGCAGAAACTCCACAATCATCATTATTCTGTCGTTGTACCTCTGGCACTATGAACTTGAAACTTTGACTTTCTTCATGGAGTAGAGAGGCAATTTGCCTTTTTACAAAGATGGGGATCCTCCCTCTAAACAAGCTGTCAAAGAGTTTGACCTCCGATTGATTTGAACATCCAATATTGGAGACCAAAATCCAGTGATGACTTCCTGTGTGGAGGATTTGAGCAAATTCACCCTTTTGTACAGAAAAATTGTAAATTGGTCCCAATGTTGTATTTTCCGATCCGTTGGTGTGAGGAAAATGACTTCAGAGTACAGAATGAGCTGCTCCTACAATGTGATCAGTGAGCCACTCTCCAGATGTGATTATTTTAATGTCTTGTTCTGCAAGCAGGAAACGGCTATTCTTAGGGGCGCTGCCAGTCATACTCCCGACAAAAGTTACCTCGCAATCAGATTCCGTCATTGAGATGTTGGTGCTTGTGGTAGCTTGGGCCTTGACATCAGGATTCTTGGGTATGGCCGCCTTGTCATCAGGGAGGTGGATTGTGGCAGCTCTGACATCAGGGGTCTTGTTTGTGGCCACTTTGTCATCAGGGGTCTAAGTTGTGGCCACTTTGACACCAGAGATGTTGGCTGTGGCCACTTTAACATCAGGGGTCTTGGTTGTACCCATCTCAACATTAGGGGTCTTGGTTGTGGCTGCCTTGACACCAGGGATGTTGGTTGTGGCCGCCTTGTCATCAGGGGTCTTAGGTGTGGCCACCTTGTCATTAGGGGTCTTGGTTGTGGCCGCTTTGAGATCAGGGGTCTTGGTCATAGCCACCTTGACATCAGGGGTCTTGGTTGTGGCTGCTTTGACACCAAGGATGTTGGTTGTGGCTGCCTTGACATCAGGGGTCTTGCTTGTGGCCACGTTGAGGTCAGGGGTATTGGGTGTGGCCGCCTTGTTATCAGGGGTCTTGGGTGTGGCTGCCTTGTCAGAGTGATTGGTTCTGGCTGACGTGACATAAGGGTCCTTGGTAGCGTCTGTCTTCATATTAGGATCTTGGGCAAGTCCTCATCGCCTTTACTCAGCTTAGCCTGTTTGGCTGGCCAGCCTTCCATGTGAAGCAAACTGACATTAAAACTTCTTTTCATTTGGTGCGCTCTCTCCCCGGATCATCCTGTGTACAGGTTTTTCTTTTGGGCTACTGGGAAATTCTTGAAGTCCAGTTTCGTTTGCTTCTTCCCAAGTTTCCTTTTTCTTGTTGCATTAGAACTTTGGAGCTCCAGGAGCTTCAAAAATGACACCATTTTCCTTTGGAGCTGTCATGTGAAGAAGATGAAGGCATTCCTCAAGCTTTTCCCTTAGTCCCTCTGAGATGTCTGCATTTTCCCAGGCCTCTACAATGTAAGTCATATTTTTTATCTGTCCTAAGACTTCACGACATTTTGCAGCAGTATTTCGGGGCTGCGGAACTGTGCGTGGTAATTCTTCAAATCTCAGTGACTCCTTTCCATCGTTAACCTCTACAGCTTCTGCTCCTATCATGGAAAGCAGGTCATCCACACTTCCTTTCTCAATGTAGTCGCTTGCCTTTGGATTATCAGGTGTAAATAATTCTTCATCCAAAGTGAAGAAAGGTGAATCTTTATATGCATCTGGAAGCTTGTCAAATGACCACACTGGGACATGAAGAAAAACGGCGAAAAAATAATTGCATGGCAATCTATGCCTTTCCCAGTCGTGACAGTCACAACTTTGTTGGGTCGTTCCAAACATCACTTTGTAGCTATCTTTTTCTTCAGTGCTACTCTGCCTTCTTACCGAGAATATGCCATTCGTTATGTCGATAACATGGACATGACTTCTTGGAATTGTCTCTGCATGATATTGTCTATCCAGGCAATGGTTGATGATATGGTGTGGCTGCTCTATCGAATAGGACGGGATGCCTGGATTATAACTTCAATAGCCTGCTTGCAGTTTTGTGTTCAATTCCACGTACCTAAAAGAGAAAAAACTCAGTTAATTTAATCAATCAATTGAAAGAAGATTGAAAGGATTGAATTATTGAATGATTTTGAATGATTCTGAATGAATTAATGAATGAATGCATGCATGCATGAATGATTGAATCATTCATTCATTCAATCATTCATTCAATCAATCAATCGATCAATCATCATTCATCCATGCTTTCCTTCCTTCCTTCACTCATCGATCGATTTGTGGTTGTTGATCTTTAGATCTTCTGTTCTCATTACTGCCTTTCTCTATTTTGTCATTCTTTCATGCATGTAAATGTAAAATTTTATGCAAATCTTATTTATAGTGGTCGTACACTTAGCTATACATGCACTAAGCTTAGCTAGTTTACAGGCGTGCCACTGAAAGAAAGGAAACAAGTATTTCAAATTGATGTAACATAGTTAAAAATCCCAACTAGTAGGAGGCAGACCAGTGGGCTATTTAGAAAGTGTTACTGAGGATTTGAACTCAGGACTACCGAGAAAAAATCCCGCTAGTGGCAGGGTGCAGGCCTTGAACACGGGACCTTCGGATTACAACACCAGGAACCTAAACCACTCAGCCACGCTGCCTCCACCATTTGTTTATTACTGTGAGAGAAACTGAGTCTTACTTGAGATATTTGTCAGGAAGGAACTCTTCAATCAGAATAGATAACATACAAGTCAAGACTTGTCGAGAGATACTTTTGCTTAGCTATGCAGACAACAACATTTCAGACGAAGAATTTGTTTCATTATAAGACTTATCATTCAAAAAAATCCAGATTTTGGCTATTAATCGTATGATGTTTTCAATCTAGAAAACATGACTTCAGCTGGCTGCAAAGCCGAATTTCGAGTTGAAAAGGGAGACCTTCCTCTCCTTGCAGATGCCTTACATATTCCCACAGTGTTCCATTGCAAACAGGGCAGCATTTGTGATGGTTTGGAGGGACTGTGTGTGCTGCTGAGACGAACAAGTTATCCCTGCAGATTCAGCGATATGATTCAACGTTTTCTAAGACCAGTTTCTGTTTTGAGTTTGACTACAAATGAAGTCATGGATTTTATTTATGACAACCACTGTCATCTCGTAACAGAGTGGAATAGAGATGTACTAAGCTCACTTGCTCTTCAACAGTATGCTGAAGCCATCTCAAGGAAAGGATCTCCTCTAAATAACTGCTTCAGTTCATGGATGGGACAGCTCGACCAATCTCTAGACCTGGGAAGGGATGGAGGATTTTGTATAATGGACACAAACGGGTTCATAGACTAAAATTTCAGTCCACTGCCTTACCGAATGGACTTATAGGAAACATCTTTCAGCCAGTAAGTAAGAACTTAAATATTTTCACTGAATATTAATAAGGTTAATTACCATGTTATTCATATGGGTTTCCGAAATCTAAGATATTTTTATGAGCTTTTGTTTCAGAGGAAGGAAAAGAAGACGTGGGTATGCTCGCTGACTCTGGGCTTCTGAACGACCTGGGGAACTTCGCCTTTTCCCCAGCTGGCCAACCTGTGTGCATTTATGGCGATCCGGCTTATCCCCTCTGGATTCATCTTCAGGCGCCATATCGCCAGGGAAGTCTAACCCAACAAATGGAAGATTATAATAAAGCAATGAGAGCAGTGCGAGTGTCCATGGAATGGCTTTTCGGGGACATAATTAATTCCTTTAAATTTTTGGACCACAAGAAAAGTCTAAAGATAGGTTTAAGCAGCGTAGGAAAAATGTATCTTGTATGGGCTTTGCTGCGAAATGCTATAACTTGTTTATATGGTAATCAGACGTCTGAGTTTTTCAATCTTGAGCCGCCAACTCTAGAGGGATATTTCCAGTAATCGATTTAAAAGCAAAAAAAATAAACATTGAAAACATTTGTTCTTCAAAGTATGTATACTTGTTAACATGGGGCTTCCAATTTAGTCCAAGATGCAATCTTTAATACATGTAAACATTAAGCTTAAATCTTATACAACAACAGCAACATGTGTTAAATAAAGACACTGATAGCTGATTACTTATTTAGTAGCCTTTCCACAACACTCAAAAATGCAGTATTCATTTGTTGCTGCTGAAGGATCATAGCTTTCATCATTTGCTGTTGACTTTCCTGTTCCTGTTGTTTTGCACGTAACTCCTGTTGTGTAATTTCGCAGTCAGCCGCTGCTTTCTCTCGCAAAAAGTCGACCAGTGGTTATGCACGTCTCAACTTACGACGTTTTAGAGGAGCTCCGCCTTCATCTGAATTTCGTTTCTTGGTCTCTTTAAGGCTCTCCATTGCTTTTTTCCTGATATCTTCTGCAGTCTCGTCCTTGAGTTGCTGATTCGATGCCGATTTAGCCTTTGCTTGTATGGTATCTTCTCTTGACTAACTCCTCAATCAGTGATTCCTTCTCTGTCAACTCTTCCACAGAAACCCCACCTGCTTTCTCTTCCTCGCTCATCTTTTTGCTGAACTTTTTTCGGAGGTTCCACTGTTCTCATACAGCTTTTTAATTCTTCAGTTGGAATTTTGGAGAGTGGATTTCATTCACACTGTCAACTATTGCTTCCCAAGCCAGTCCACAAGCGGGACTTCCTTTCTTTGCTCCAAAAATATTTTTTGCTAGCATTTCTCTCAGAAAAAGCACATCATGTTCGCTCCACTCCATCAGCCTAGAGTGAAACAATGGGAAACGAGAGGTAAAACATAATGCATAATTTTGATAAGAATAAAGAATCAAAGCAGCTAAAACCTTGGCCAAGTGGCTTAATTTACTCACTTGGATTTTTGCACTTGATCATCAGATGCCGCCGTATCCAGTCTGCGTCTACAGCTGTCCTTTTGAAATGTGATGCATAAAATGCATTTTATGCCTTTCAAGTAAATTACGAGAAGATGCTCTCCTAAGTTACGAAAACTAAAAGGCCAGGAAAAAAAATGAGTATAAGCAGACAAAAGACTCGTTCTACTCACATTTTCTACACACTGTGAAAACAAGCCTTTCGAGGTCAGCGCCGAGCCTAGACAACTTCACGCCAAATGTACGACATCAAACGGAAATAAAACTTCACTTCCGGGTGCCGTCGCTGTCCTGAAAACTCTCGGTGCTAAAGGTCCATACTGTCAGTGTCAAAACCCTCATCACCATTCTCAGGTCTCTTTTCTTCTTTGCTGTAAGTTGCACATGGATGAAATTCAAAATTATCATCGCACAATCCCACCTTCCAAATCCCCACTTTTTCGCAGATCTTCCTGATTAATTTTAGAGTACCTTTCTTTAATTACTGACTTATAAATAGGGCTTCTTATGGTCCCTCTGGAACGGTAAAAGCGTCGGTCCATTTTCTGGGGTGCTTGTTTCCCCCGATACAATTCTTGCTCGACAAAGATCTTTAGATGTCTGCATATCTCTCTCTGATCGTACCCCTGCACACACCAGCTCCTGGATTTTTGTCGCTAGCCTGTTGCCTATGTGCTGGAAAAGGCCACCAGCCTACAGAGAGAAAATTAAGAAATAATTAAATAATTAAAAAAAGATCGAATGCTAGCAACAGAACCATTTGTAGGACACCGGGGCAAAATGCGTCAGCATCGGCTGTTTAATCACAACTAATAAAATGTCAAAACTTATGTCACCAGTTGGGTGCATGACGTGTTCATCGACAGACGGGAAATGCACATGAATCGACCTTTCACTCTTTGCTGTACCGTTGTCTTCTAGAGCCCTCCAATGCCACTCCGTCTTTTCCAAAATCTGATGAATAATAAAAAATACTCAGTTTTTACCAGTTTTAAACGAACGGATGTGGTGTTGATTTTCATTTCATTTCTTTCCTTTCATTTTATAACTTATGTTTGTCTACCTTGAACTCTGGGAATTTGATGATTTCCTTCATATGCACTTGAGCCGGACAATTAAGTTTCCTAGACTCTTGAAGCAGTTTACTGGCCCCATTTTTTCGATAGGTGTGGTCACCACCCTAAAGGTTGAGAGAAAAAGATACTAAACAGAAATCTTCCATCATGCGTTCATAATGCTATAACACTCGTACAAGTTTGTGAGAACTCAGTGCAATGATTGTATGGAACTTGTCTTCTCATCTTTCTACAGGTTTTTGTAGTGTTCCAAAACAAGAAAGCAGGTGTTTCTCTTTCATGAAATGAAAATGCGTCAGTAAAACCCACACCGCTTGATTTCTCTTTTTCTCGCTGAGATGTCTATCTACACCATGCTGACAGTAGTAAACCTTGTGATTTACAACAACAAATGGCACCTTGTCAAAAGGCAAGCCACTATACTCCCATAAAACCTTGTGTTTCTTAGCTGCCATGTCCGCATTAAAAAAAGGAATGCATTAGCCTGATAAATATACTATTGATCCTTGGTTTCATTATTTTCCAGAGATGGGGTGTGGGTTCACCACTCGCAGTGGTCGTTGCTTTCGAAATTTTAAGCTCTGTTTTTGCAGTGCGTGAGAACACTTTAAAGTCATTGGTAACCATGCATGGTCACCTAAATTGCTTCATGTACAAAGTTATCCTCACCCTGGGCCCTTACTTTACCTTCTGCTATGTGATTGTGTGAGGTTTTCTTCACAGTAACCTCAATTTCTTCATACGGAACGCAAAAATGCTGTTAGGAGTATTTGGCCTAGATAACTAATTGATGACACTCAATCTAGATCTTATGCTAAAAGTATAAGGAATTGTATGGAGCTGTCCGGGATACTTACAGTACATGCCATGTGTATCCTCTCAAGGCCTATGCCATTGTTTTGTTGAGCAAAAATAATTCAAAACAAAGCGAACCGAAAGACATTTTTCGTTGCCGAAAGTGTTCCAATTTTTGTAAATGGAAAACCTCTCACCTGTGTTTCCAAACCCCTTGTTCGCTTTAAACCAGGAGAATCTGGTTGTTGTAGTGGTTTCATACTCCCTGAGAATGGACTCTGCTGCTTTGATGTCCTTTACCAAACCTGACCTTTCGGAAAACTGAACTGGAAACAAAAAACTCACTGCCTGGAGATTAAGTTTCCTTGCCATTTGTGAAACAACAATTTTGTCCTCGAAACCACTTAATAACTGTTGTAATGAATGCAATAGAAAAATGTCCCGAGACTCTACGAGGGGAAAGACATTGAATTTTTGAAACGGGTCACTACGATTTTTCCGCCTTTATTTGTCTGACATTTAATCAACCAGAACCTTTCCATTTCCGGTGATTCAATAGCCTCCTTTTCAGAGATTGCCGTGTGATTTCGCAATGTTGTAGCTGTGATCAACCATCCATGAAAAGGAGGTTTGTCAGTTTTGCGGAACAAAAGAAAATGTTACATTTCTTTCAGTATTTCAATGAATTTCTAAATGAAGGTGGTTTTATCTTCCTGTCCTGGTTTGGATGTCTAAAATGCCAATTACAGGCTTGCAATACAATGGCGACCTCAGGCGACATCGGATTTCATCATCGGAAGTTGTCTCGAAATGACCTCCTTCTGATGGATTGCGGAGCGTGCGCTCCAGTTCATGGGACTTGCGTAACTTAGTAAGGAGGCATTACATGGCATGATGAAAAACTAGTGTCTAGGCTCTTCTCCTAAAGTAGGTTGGAACGCCTGGAGGTTAAAATTCATCATGACTGAAATGGCGTGTCTTTGTCGCTGTATTTGGAGAAAAACTACCTCAGAATAATCAATCTCTTTGGAATTTGTACTTGTAGGGATGGGAAGCAGCTGATTTATCGCTAATATGAAACAGTATTTCTATTTTATGCAGAAAAAAGCTCAGATTATGTGGAGGATGCAAAATTGTGACTGAAGAGGAGAATTTTTTGTAGAACATTTAGTGAAAAATGCATGTGATCGTATCAGATGCAGTTTCGAGCCCTGTAGACAGTTGTGTCCCTGAAAATTATCAGAAAAAAATTCTTCGAGAATGTTGAGGTATGAAATCTCCTTTGTTGGAAGAAGTGGAGAGGTTTGCAATGTAGATGGCTGAACTACATGTGAAAAGTGGAAATCTGGGGAAAAAAGGGGGTGTGGATTACTGAATGATTTTGGAATTCGGAGAGCGTTCTGTAATTTATGAAGGGAGTGCATTAAACCAATCAACAACTTTAAAGGCCCAGTTTCACCCATTCGGCATTGCAGCCGTTTGTTATTGTTTTCAAATGACGAAATGATTTCTGATTGGCTCTTTGCTTATCGCGGGTTTCCTCTGTTTCTTGTCGGTTCGAAGCGCGCCACTGTAAGATCATATCTTTCACTTTGTTGGCTGATAACTAGTATTCCAATAGTTTGCCGGATCTGTGGTTCATGGATAGCTTTCCAAAAGATGCCGCAAGCACACTTGTAAATTTTTATAGCTCAGCATCGGACTCAAATGAAGAGGACAACGAGGAAGATGTAGACGTAACTGCAGAGGTGAGATATTTCAAAATGGCCATTTCAC